GGAGAGGTGTAGTAGCATAATCTCTTGTTATAAAAAAGAAAAAAAAAATGGAACTTTATTATATGAATAATTTTTTAATAATTTCCACAATGTTGTCCAAACATTAGGTTCATCTCTATCATGAAATAATGTTTGGAGGGATTAATCTTGTGCCAATTAAGCTCTGTCTGTAGCCTTACAAGAAGTTATCTTAGCAAAAAAGCATACACTAGGATACATCCTCTTGTAAATACCTAGTAAGAGCAGATATGGGCTTAAAATTGATCCTTGTTGTAATCCAACTGAAATGGGAAATTTTTTTGTCAAACCACCTTGTGCTTAAACACAAGTGACATCTCCTCCATATATATATATATTTGAATATAAAATTTTTTAATTGCTTTCTTTTCTAGAACTTGTTGAATTATTCACTATAAATTAGATTGTTAAACCTAAGCTTTTGTCCAAGTGGGCTAACCAAGAGGGGGGGGGGTGAATTGTTAATTTAAAAAATTAATCCCTCTTTTGAATATTTTAAACTGAAAATAAACTTTAATGAATTTTGTAAAAATAGTTTTTCAACCACAACTTAAAAAGTAAAGCAGAAAATAAAAAAGCAGCAAAAATAAAAGACTAAGATTTATAGTGGTTCGGTCAAATACGACCTAATCTTACTTCCGGAGGCACCTCCAGTATTGCACTAATACCACTAGTGACTCTCCTTTTGCCCCACAGCAAGGGGATAAGCCTTTACAAAAACTCTTTCCACCACTACCTGGTGCGGCAGAGAACCGTCGTCCTTTTACACTATCTCTAGTGTTGGCAGAGAATCGTCACTCCTTTCACACTCTCCCGGTGTAGGCAGAGAACCCTTCGTCCTTTCACACTCTCCTAGTGTGGGCAGAGAACCCTTCGGTTGTTCACACTCCTAGTGGGTAGAGAACCCTTCGGCTATTCACACTCTTCAAGTGTCGGCAGAGAACCGGATTTCTTTGACAGATCTTTTCACAAGAAATCTAGAAGGAAGAAAAAAAGAGTGAAGTAATCACAAATCAAAAGTAAAGACTCTTACCTTTAAACACCAAGTGAAGCCTTCACGCTCCAGTAGTAAGAATCGTCCTTAGAACACTCTCTCACACTCTCTTCTTGACTCTTCTTTCAATAAGCACAAAGATCAGTAGGCAAAAAAGATTAAGTGGCAGTTTAAATTGGACTTTTTATAGGAGAGACAAGAAAAACCGTCCAAAAACTGCAAAATTTCAAGTTGACATGCAGTGGATCCTCCCGTACGATCGTGATCGTCCTGGACGATTTTACTTAAATGCGTTGGAAACGAACTCAATGTATATGGGTATGAAATGACTTTGTACACTCACATCGTCCTATACGAAATAGGTTCGTCCGGTACGAACTGTTATTTCATAGGTCGGTTCCCAAAAACTGCAGAACGTTGCCAAAATTTTTCAGAGTCAGTTCACTTCGTCCTGGGACGAATCTGAGTTCGTCCGGACGAAATTTTTACAGAGGGCAACTTGTCTTGGCACGATCATAAAATTCGTCTAAACAAAAATTCTCCAGAGGAGATTTCGTCCTGGGACGAATACACTTCGTCCTGGACGATATTTCTCCGGAGGGCATCTCGTCCTGGAACGATTATTAATTACGTCTGAACAAAAATTCTCCAGAGGCCATTTCGTCCTGGACGATCAGGACTTAGAAAAAATTTTCTTCAACTCCTGTTTGTTCCATTGCTCTTTCGAGGAGATAACTGTCATAATCGTCCCGTACGAACTAGGTTCGTCCCGTACGATCAGTACAAATTTTAAAGATCTCCTAAAGTGTCTGTGTTTATTGACTCAATTACAATCACTCCCCCTCAAACTTAATTCAAAGAAAAAATACAAGCTTCAATTCACAAAGTATTTTATGCTGAATTTGGTTTGAAGTCTCTTCGTAGTCTGGAGTTCGATTTTCTTGAAATGTTAGTACACACAAGAGCAAAAATAAATCTTCCAAAAAGTGTTAGGAGATAACTACACATAAAATAATAATATTTGAAATCATCAAAATTATACAAGTTGCAAAAATATAAAACATGCAAATAACAACTCTCTTTACAAAACTCTCCAAAGCATATTGTTTGGAACTTTATTATATGCTTTATCTTAATCAATATATATCATATGTAGACCCTCCTTATTCTCTCTGTACTTCTCCATCGACACTCTGAATAAATATATAACTCCCATAGTAAACCTATGTGGCATGAATTCAAATTGATTTTTAGAAACATTAGTAACATTTTTATCTTATGCTCAATTACTCTCTTCCATAGTTTTAATGTATGTCACATTTATTTAATTCCTCTATAATGTGCACTATTGTGCATCACCTTTATTCTTAAAACTTGGAACGAACACACTCTACCACTAACATGACCTAATGGGTGCATGGTTGGCACCCTCGCAGAGGGTGTGATAGTGGCATACCATTTCGTTACTCTATGCGGTGTAATGCTTTATTATATTTTTTTTTTATTTTTTAAGATTTTAATTTAAATATTTTAAGAA